CGATCTGTATCAGGGCCGTTTCATCCGACGCGCCCAACGCGGCAATGTACGCGTCTAGGTCCTGCAAGAAATCGTGAACCGATGCTGCGTCGGAGTAGCCCGAATAGGTCGGCGTCGGCACGCTCAACCGCGGGCGAGGCACGGGTGTAGGCGCGGGATTCACCACCCCTGGGGCCAAACCCATCTGTCTAGAAAACGTCGCGAACATCGCCGTCATTGCGTGCATTAGTTCGCTGACGTCTCCCGTGTGCACCGCCGGAATTGGGGGTTCTAGCGCTGCCGCAACGCTCGCTTCCCCACTCGTGCCTTCTCCCACGTCCGAGTCAATATCCGCCACTGACTGGGTTGAGGCCTCGGGATGGGCGGCCTTATTCCGTAACCTGGACATGGTGGCAGAGCGTTAAACACTGATGTCCAGCGGAGTAACAAAAAAATTCAAACGGGAAAACAAAACAAACCTAAACTTAGAAATCGCGATTCGTGGGACTCCCTGGGAGCGAAAAAAAAGCAACGGCAGACTGATCGGGCCCCACGTTGGAAGCGCCAGTTATGTGGGTCGCCTGTCAATTCCCGATCAGGCCAAGTTCTACTCGCTCCGAGGAAGTCACACAAGGAGCGCTATCATAGACAAACACTTTATAGATACTCAAGTTATGCTGCGGGGGCCAAGGCTGCCTTGTGGTCCGGGTCTTCCCTGGGCTCGTTCCGCACCGCCTCTTTCGTTTGTCACGGCCCTTCGAACTCCTGTCCTCGCGCACCCACTACGAGCGTCCCCTCTTCTTCTTCCACCTGGCGCCGTCTTCTACACGCAGTCCGCTCACTGTCCCCCACAGGTTCTAGGTCTCGCGTTCAACTGGCAGTAATGGCATTCTTTGCAGTATTTACTAATCTGCTCCTGCATGTTCGGCCAGTAAAATGAATTCTTAATTCGCTGTTGCGTTTCCTTTCCAGCGAAATGCACGCCAACTGGTTTGTCGTGGGCTACTTCTAACACTGTCTTCCGCCTGCTTTCCGGTAAAACTAGCTGCTTGACAATTCTGCCATCTATTTTTTCTTTGTGGAACAGCGTTCCATCAACCACTTGCATTCCATGAGTCCCTTTTTTTGCCTGTAGCCACAAGGGCTTCAGCGACTCGTCGTTCTTCTGCTCTGTTCGAAACTGAAGGCAACCTTCAGATTCTATTTCGTTTACGTCACTTCGCTCGTCCACAGACTCTACAATTCCGTTTTCACCCTCCGACTGTGTGCTCGCCACGCATGCCTCTATCACCAGCCCTTCCTTCAATACTGCAGCGTCACAGGGAAGATCCACCTGATCTACCAAGGGCACTTTCTGTTCTACTTTTCTTAAAGCTACTAATTACTCAGGTGTGAGTAGTGCGTCAACGTCTCCGGCAAGCTGCTGCTCGGTTACAGCACTGAGCAGTAAAGTATCCACTCCAGTATCAAGCGCACTGCTACCAAGTCGAAACGGGACATACATGAGATCGGCCTCCACCTTGTGGCCGAAAGCGCCATTCAACCGAATCTTCCCTTTTTGATTCTCGTCCAAAATGGTGGCCATCGACCTTCGAACCACTCTAATGTCTGCCCCCGAATCAACCCTAGCATTCAAGCGCTTGTCTCCTGAGCGGAGTTGCACAAATCGTTCTTCGTCAAGCACTTCGTGTTGTTCAGTCAGCGATACTAGTTTATGATGTACCTCGATTGATTGCTCGGCGTGTTCGCAGTCTAAAGGTCTTTTTACTCGTGCCGTTAGCTTAGGATTGGTCTCAGGGCAATTCGTTGCCAGATGACCCTGTTTCCCACAAGCGAAACAGCGTCGAGTGTCGCCGACATACTCAGTATGACCTCTCTCTTTCGGAGGCGTCATAGACTCGCTCTGACTAGAGTCACCAGTAGTGTCTGTCTTGTGGTAGGGTTTTGGGACCCTCTGGCGCATTACTCTCCTGATGGCATTCAGCGAGCTTAGCTAACGCCTCGGGACGCAGTCACTCCCGCGTTTCGTTCAAGGCAACATATGCTTTTATTTCATTAGGGAGGGACTTCTTCAACCTATCCGCGACAACTATTTGCAACAAGTCACCGTAAGTATCCACTTTTCTACTGTTCACATACCTGAAGTAGCTATTAAGTCGGCCGGCGAACTGGCTCCAGGACTCTTTCCGCAATTTGCCTGCCGTGGTGAATAGTCGTTTGTATTCGTTTGGAGATAATCTTAGCTCACGTAAAATTCGTTCTTTTAGCTGAGCGTAAGATGGCAGTTCCTTCATGCCACTGCACATGATCGCTGACCTCACCCTGTCAGCTATATACGGCATTATCAGAACAGTTTTTATCTCGTCAGGAACCTGAAAGGATCGAAATATGACTTCTACCGCCTCAAACCAGCCAGGCACCAAGGTTTTGTCCCCGAGCATCCGGCTGAGCACATTAGTCAAGAGTGCAGCATAGTGGGCTGCCCTAGATTCGGGTTGTAATTCCAGCCCCCCATTTGCACCACCACCATTTTCCTTCTGCAATTTTTGGAGCTCAATTTGTGCCCGTATTTGTTCGAGCTTTATTTTTTCAATTTCCAACCGAGTGTTCATCACTTCAGAATCAGTTCTCCCCTCATCCTCCGATGCGTCATCAGGCTCCTTAAGTTTATCAGGCATTTTACCCTCCCCTTTGCCCGACTCATAGTTCTTCGCCATGGCTCGAGTGATCATTCAACCCAAATAGACAAGCATATGCGCTCACCAATTCAGGTTGACCAGCTCTTCGTCGTCGATGGGCAGTCAGAAGCACTGGCAGCGGAAATGCCTAACAGGAATGTCTCAGGGTCCGTGCATCACTGAAATTCGGATTCTACCGCTTGCAGGCAGTAGTTCCTGTCCCTCTCGAAGACTGGAAGTCTTGTTTTCCGCCGTTGTTTCTTGCGCTGAGGCTGCGTCATGCAGCGTTCGTCCCACTGGTCACGCCAAGCGCTCGCCTGGCGTCCGGTTGCATGGGCGCCGAAAAGCCGAGTTTGCTTGCTGTCAGCACCGTTCGTGCTGTGCTCCGGACTCGCCGCTCCGTCGCATATGGTAGACGAAAAGCCTGGCTTGCTTGAACTGGCAACGTCCGTGTAGTATGCCGGACCCACCGCTCCGTCGGTTGTGGCAGGCAAAAATCCGGGCTTACTTGAACTCGGCGACGTCTGTGCGGTGTTGGAGCTGGCCGCTCATCCCCAGGTTCCGTAGCTGAACTCTCGCTGTCGACTGCGCCAGTCACGGCTTGTGGTATGGGCGCCGTGGGACCCGGGAAGGCAGGGAGCCAGCCTTTTGGGGGGAAAGCGTTTTATTCCGGTTCGAAGTCGTGCTTGCACCAGCTCCAGCCCACCGCGTTCCTTTTTTCTCCTAGCGCACCGTCTCCAGCCTCGGTCCTTCCGTCGTCACTTCGTCTTTTTCTCGTCGCACCAATCAGCGCACACCAGGGGTAACAAAAATATAACAATCACAAAGCCCGATACCCCGTCGGCGACGGCGCGCGCTGAATCCGCTGCCTCATGCATGCCACATGCATGACAATATCTTTCCCTGTTATTAAAACACAACCTCTCCTTCCTCTAAAGCACAAATAGTAAGGCTCAACTGGAAAGCATCCAGTGTTTTTTGCCGTGAGACGAAAGTACAATGACCTGTTTTTTTTTAATATACCTTGAGGAGATAAGCGATAAGACCCCTTTTTTACGGTGGTCTAAGATAGCCAGCCGGCAACACCCAGGTGGCACCAACAGACTCAGAGCCCTCGGTCGTACCCAGTCTCGTAGTAATTTGCCGAAGGGTGAGCGATAAGCCCCACACTGCGTGCCGACAGCCTTGATATGTGCTACATTTACGAGGGCAATACACACATACTGGAGCATGACGCTGCGAGAAGCCTGATACTTAATCGCTGTAAAAGCGCGCTTTGATGATACATAATCACTTTCCGATTGGCCCGCCAGGGCCGTATCTTCCGCCGTACTGGCATGTTATGCGTTCACGGCTTCCTGGCCTGCCCAGTATTTCTTCCTTCAGACACTTGGCTAAGCGGCGCCACAAAGTAATAGCTCACGTTTGAACAATGCAGGCGCCACTCCCAGGCAAACCCAATGTTTCTTGCTTCAGTCGCTAGATAGCGTCAAACCAAAGAGAATTGCATGTTACCTATTGGAAAGGTAACTGGTGGCATTTTGTAAGGACCAATGACAATTCGAAGATTGTCGGATAAATGCGAATTTACAAAGAAATTTTGGGATGGGTGTTCTTCGAAGTTTTTCGGATTAATTCGAAAACACGGAACCCTAGTTTCAACAAAGCCTTTTGACGTTCACTTTAACCCGTGCAAACAAGTCACAACAGACAATTATATTTTTTTGAATCCTGAGAACGGAATTCCTAATGCCTCTCGTAACTTGTCACTCTTAATTTACCCGATACTACACTTGTCCAACGGCTGCTTATTCTAAATAACTCTGATTGATAAAATGATACGTTTAAGGGCGGGCGAATAGCGGTTCGAATCGGATAGCACTGCGTCATTCTTAATTAGAGCTTCGAGTTTTCGGTTGTTTATAAACATATCTTTTTATATTGGTGTGTTTTTTCTTTTAAATATAGTTTTACTATATACGCTCAGTTCTTTCTTAATTTGTTAAAACTTAAGCACTTTACACAAAAGACATCTAGTGCGAGAGTAAAAATATCTCCCCCCCCCCCTAAAAAAATTAAACCGACGAAATAGTGGCTCTTTTTAAATAGTTGAGGCTAAGAATGACGCTGCGCACCTGAATTCAAACCGTCATTCACCCACCCCTAGATACGAATTCATCAAAGATACATATACATGTATTTCTTCATATGCGTGTTCATACAACCTTTGAAACCTTATTGTCCTTTTGTCGTAGTAAACATTGCATAATTCCGCGTGTTCTAAAGCTCTTCGTTAATTTACAAATTTCGGTAAGTCTCGCATGGCCTGTCGTTTCACTGCAGCCGAGTGCCCAAGCAAGGAGCCTTTCCACGAGATCACGAAAGCCGGAAGCATTTTCAGGCAAAGGAAAAATTTGGGCATAATGGCTTGCGAGAACCACGACTTTGGTAAGATTCTCTTTTCTGATATCTTAAATCACAATTAAAGCCCACATCACACTGTTTGCAATTTTATTAACAGTGGTGCTTGACAGCGTGGTTCTCAGATTAATTTTTTTCTTTTTCAGCTTGGAAAGGTCAAGTATTTTCCAATGAAGTGGAGAACGGCTACCGCAACATTCGCTTCAAAGTTGATGTCGCCGTCAAAGAAGGTACTGATGCGATATGCTAAATACATAATTTTGAGTCATACCCTACGCGATCTGTTGAGGTTTTCGCAGACTGCCTTGGGGAAAGCTAGAAAACCTACACTGATGTCGTCTGAAGAGGGTAATTTGTAAAATCAGCAGAACATCATATAGGGGTATATTAAACCCAATAAGTGGATTAAGTAAATAAAGTTGTTAATAACCTTTTTAGTCAGTGAAACTACGTATTTGAACGCAAGCCTAAACTTGAACAGCGTTACGGAAAGCCACTGAGTAAGTAAATCTTAGAAAGGCCCGAAGGTGAGGGAAGTGTGGCAGCGCCCTCGAGTTACCACTGGTGCAAAATGCTCAAGGCTAGGCGGTCGAGGACGTGGATGGTAAAAGACAATAAAAAATCTAAAACTGTGTGCGCGAGATTTCGCACCACGAGCTTTGCGCCGGTTGCAGGAGTGGCAAATTAATCGCGCTACCGCGCTACCCATGTGCTCGAAACCTTTCTAAATTTGACTCATTACGTGTTTTTTTATGACGCTTAGCATGTTTTGAAGAAACATGTTTATATTTTCAATAGTTAAACAGGTAGTGAATCCGTTTTAGTCCATTATCCTAGTTGTCGTATATCGGGGGTATAACTCGAAGTGTCTATATATAGGGTGCCCCAAGTTACCAGGCTCGATTTCAAATGGATTGCGAAAATCGATGCCTGTACGTTGAAACCTAAAATTTTCGTCACAGGTGTATTTCACAGGTCGGTTTTTTCTTGTAAAATCAGAAAGCGTAACTCTTTTTATTTGTAAAAAATAGGGCCAAGAAACTTGCCAGGGTCAAGGGCTGGTGACGACGCAAACGACCAAGTCAAGTTGCGGGGCGTCTTTGGCACGCGTATTGATAGATGGCGTCGGGAGCAGCCTCACAAGGTGCAGCCAACCAGCGAAATTAAGCGGACGACACGCAGACGAAATTTGTTGGCAGCGAAAGCGCCGTAGTTATGCAGACACAATTTTTTTTTACTTTAAGTTTTGCTTTTATTGTTTGTATTTATTTTTTAATTAAAGGTACATTACGAAACAATTATGTTCATTTTAATAAGTCAGAATAGCCGTGAGCAGTCTTGATAAGGAGGTAGCGCCATTTATTAATGCGATCGCCAAGTGCGCCCCGCCACTCGACTTGGTCGTCTGAGTCGCCGCCCGCCGTTGACCCTGGCAAGTTTCTTGGACCCATTTTTTACGGAAAGAGAGGGGCGCTTTCTAATTTTACAAACAAAAGCTGACATGTGAAATACACCTTTAATGAAAATTTGAGATTGTTACGTGCAGACGTCGATTTTTACGATCAATTGTAGATGGAGCCTGTTGACTTGGGAGACTTTATCTATAGCCCTTTATATTTTGTCGCCTCAGTGCTTTAATTTACTTGCACGAACCCCATTAGTGCAGCTTTCATATTTTTTTAAAACAAATTTGTGAATTCTAAAAGTGCACCCTGAATCTTTTTTTATGTTAAACCGAGGTCTGCCAAATACACATATCTTAAAGGTTTTATTGTCTGTTTCATAGTACCGGTCAAACATAGGAATTGTGTTGCATGTTTATACAGCCGTAAGTTTTTCAGGTTCTATGGGCGTCTGGTGACGACTATTGATGATAACTTCTGGTTCTATAAATATACACATATGTACGAAATTATTTTTCTTGGTCACAAGAGCTGAAGCACGTTCAAGCAGCCTTAGTGTACATCAAAATAACTATTCATACGACTACTACAAAAAAACAGGCTTCGTTCAAGGCAGCCTGCAATAGTAATTGGAGAAAATATTAAGGGGTATGAAAAGCCTACAAGTAGTCAAGTTGCATACCACTAACGACTATCTTTTTTTTTTTGTCTCTGAAAAAAATAAAAAAACACATCCATAACCGATTTTTAGTGTATTCTGGGAATTTCACAAACACGGGCGCCGTTGTCTTCGAAAGGAAGCCATTTTCTTTTCAGTGTATTAAGGTGGCGATGCAAGCGAGTTGGTTCATGACTTCTGAAATTGGAAAACAGCGCGCAAAAAGACGAAGACGACGAGAGAAGAGCACAGGACAAGCGCTGACTATCAACTGAAGTTTTATTAAAAAAGGCTCAAGCAATACGATTCCGCCCACTCCAAACTTGTGAAACGAAATATTGCCACGTCATGCCTCCGAGCTTCACTGTACAGGTCCTGTCACCATGCCATGCTTGACAGCTATGAAGCCCAGGTCAAGCGACTTTTAGGAGCAGGATTTCCTCTTTCTGTTTTGCTTGGTGTCTCTCAGACAGTCTTGAAAAAAGTCAAGAGCGGTTCTCAGGAACCAAAAGTAAAGCCTAAACAAAGGCCTCAGGTTGTCCCATACTTACATAAGGTTTCACACAATTTAAAAAAGTGGCTAACCGGTTCAATGTGCCAATGGTTTTTTCAGCGCCTCAAAAATTAGCACAACTTTGCCCGCGCGTAAACCAGGCAAGCAGTAAAAAGATGTCATGTACTGTTAAGCATGTCAACAAGTTTGTGGATTGCGTTGTGGGTGTCATCTACAAAATTCCATTGTCATGCGGACGGGTTTACATTGGACAATCGGGACGCTGCGTCAACGAGAGAATGCGTGAGCATGCGAATTCCCTGCGGTCAATGACCGGAGGTCACTTGTACGTACATTGCAGAGACTGCCAGTGTCACCCCGTCTTCCAAAATACCTTAATCATTGGCAGGGGGCGCACAAAAGTGCAAAGAGAGGTGCTGGAGGCGCATGCTATCGAAAAAGCTGGCGCGGGGCACTGCGTCAGCCAACCTTCTGTTTATCTTCATAAAAAAGAGATAGATTTTATAGATGACTGGTGAGCGACACGCCATTGGTTGTTTCGGCGTTGGTTGACTGTGTGGTGTTTTCTTGCTTGAGCCTTTTTTAATAAAACTTCAGTTGATAGTCAGCGCTTGTCCTGTGCTCTTCTCTCGTCGTCTTCGTCTTTTTGCGCGCTGTTTTCCAATTTCAGAAATCTTTTCAGTGCTCTGTTCGCAAATTGCTCTGAGGTTTCTTCACTCACATAAAATGCTAATTTTCTTTGCTGCATATTTTCCCCAAAGGTGCAGAAAACAAAACGGCTCTTTTAAGCAACCTCAAGATTCTCAGGGCCAGGGAGCTGTGTCACATGGCCGACTTGACAGTCGGAGGAATATACATGATCTTCGGTGAAGACAGCGAGCCTTTCGAAAGAAACGGCAATGTCATGTATGTTAAGTTTCAATATTTCGATCACAAAGACGCGTTGAAGCTATGCTAATACCTTCCTTCCACAATCGTCGATGTTTTTTTTTTTTCTTTTTTTTTGCAGACGACGATACGACCTGAACCAAAATGTACGGATATTCAACATGCACGACAGGTCAAGCACTGAAGACTACAGGAAGTTGAGCTCGCTTTTCCAGTGGTTGACTACTGGATTCATCAAAAGGGGAGGCTGTGGTCCTCAGTAATTAAGAGATTACTTCAGATCATGTAACAGACGCTTAACAATCGGCAGCTGCTTTATTTTGATGTACCACTCACCTATGGGCATCTGTGTTTTCGGACTGCACAAGACAGCAGCAAGTCAAGAGTGGGTGTCACAAGACGCCTTCTTCATATGTTTTATACGATTGCTTGAGATGGAATATTTTGCCACGGAGAAGAATTTATTGGACAAGGCGATTTAAGTCTGGTTCACATGATGCGATATTGCTTGAGATTTCGCAATTGCGACGTCACTCGCGCGGCAAAAAATGCTTGGTTGATGCAGCGGTCTCCACGCCGCATCTGAGAACTCCCCCCAAAAAAATCGCACCATGCATTTAGGCTTTAGTGTGCGAACCTTAAAACCGAAATTTACTAAATACAGGATATTCCAATGACAAAAGTATTTGGAACTTAGGGAAGGTTCTACTTTTCATTTGCTGTAATTGTTGGATTAATTGGACATCAGCAATAATGCGACTCGTTAGAATATGGCCGGAATTACTGCTTGCATGTTTGTGCCACTTCTAGTTTCTAATTTATATATTTTCTCGAGTTATCTACAACGTGTCCGATGTTAAAATAAAGGATGTAAATAAAACAAACTTGGCGTTTACTGTCTTGTCTCTCTAATTCTTGTACCCTTGCTTTCGATAGGCCTCATAACGTTATGCGAATTCATTGGATGTCGAGTCAACAAGAACCGTTTTATCGAATGTTTCACCAAACTCATTCCGATTCATCGCCGTTCTATTAAATGCCATTGTTATTGAACATTTCTGATTCGACGCTGCTTCATCGAACATTTTCTGAGCTCTCCAGACAGAAGGCAAGGGAGAGAAACCACTTCCTTTGATCTTCTGGCCGGTATAAAAAGCGATAACTTCATCAATGGGACATGTAGGGAAAAGTACAAGATGGTTCAAATTGGAACACAAAACAACGACCACCAATGGTACACCATACAAACCCCTCTTTCGGCCAAAAGCGTTGGGCGCTTAAAGAACGGTGATGGTAGAGAGCAAACTCTTTTTCAGTTCCACGGGACTCAAACCCAAATGACACACTCGCATTGTTACAGGACAAGTAAACTTTCATGTTGCGTGTTACTTCTCAATGGTACAAAACTCAGCTTGATTTCCGGATACCTCTAAGCGAATAGCGTTAGAAAATTACTTTAAAACCCATAATCTTCGCGAGCCTCTCATTTTTGCGAATTTGGCAACTTGAAAATTTTGACAATAATATGAAGCGCGAATATTTTTATTGTCTGGAGAGGCGAAGTACAGCTTTTAGAATTCGCGAAACTTAATGCCCGCAAGCGCAGGCAATCTGCGAGTGCGCGGTACGATACCTGATCCTGATTGGACAGTTCAAAGCGCAGGGTCCCCTTATTCTAAAACTAAATTATTTGACGTTCATATCAAGCGGTCTCACATGATCGATTTTCGAGAGCAGTGAGAGCACAGACAACCAGGGCCATCTCGTGGGTGTCCTGAGAGGCTTGACGATGAAAACTACTGCCGGGAAATATGAACCGCACGTGAAGGGGAATTATCTACAGGGCCCGGTCTGCTCGAAGCCAGTTAGCTTTAGCCACGGCAAATAGTTATGCGCCCTTCCCCAGGTACGTAGAAGTACCTCCCCAAATTTGACAAGGGCTGGATGCGTGATGGCTCCGTGCTTTATTATGGGTTGGTAGCTCGTGACACCTACTGGTTGTAGCGAACGTAGCTTACTTTTCTGGAAAACTTTCTGGAAAAAAAAAGCCGTTTACAACTCCCTGTAACACCGAATTAGAGCGCAGCTCTTGAGGAGGAGGAGGAGGGAAGGTTACTGGGGGGGGGGGGGGGTGAAGTGACCTGGGGGGGGGGGGGGGGTCACGTGACGATGCCGATGATGTCATCAGTGACGTCACTGATGACATCATCAGTGACAATGACGATGCGGACTCCGATGACGTCATCAACGACGATGACGATGACAATGCGGATGCCGGTGACGTCATCAGTGACGTCACTGATGACGTCATTCGTGATGATGACGATGACGATGCGGATGCCGGTGACGTCATCAGTGACGTCACTGATGACGTCATCAGCGATGATGACGATGCGGATGCCGGTGAGGTACAGTGACGTCACTTATAACGTCATCAGTGACGATGACGATGCGGATGCCGGTGACGTCATCAGCGATGATGACGATGGCGATGCGGATGCCGGTGAGGTAATCAGTGACGTCACTGATGACGTCATCAGTGATGATGACGATGACGATGCGGATGCCGGTGACGTCATCAGTGACAATGACGTCATCGGGGAGGGCACGTGACCTCGGGGGGGGGGGGGCGTGTCACGTGACTTCAGGGGGGTCACGTGACCTCTGGGGGTCACACCCTGGGGGTCACGTGACCTTGCGGTGACCTTGGGGGTCGCGTGACCTTGGGGTGACCTTGGTTACGCCGACGGCGACGGCGACGCCGACGCCGACGCCGCTCAAGCCGGGAACGGGCCCCTAAGAGCTGCGCTCTAAAAAGAAATGGCTCGATGACGGGTGCTGCCGTGTTTTTGCAACAACGAAGCGCGGCGTACATTGAAGCTTAAGATGCACTTCTTGGTGCTCTTGCTAAAAATGATTGGTAACGTAAAACTGAATCCACATGTGTTTGCAAATTATTTGATGCTTGGCTGTTTGAATCAACTCAACCCTTGGTGAAATTTCCTTCCAAGTGCACAAGAGGACGTCGAAGTACAGTGTTAGAAACGATAAGAAATAAGTGATTCGTGAAAATCGGTGGCATACCGGCAGCGTGGTTGGGCACCAGTTAAAGACTGTACATAAAAGCTTTTTCGTAAACTAAAAATAGCGTACTTCGGCTCCAGTGGAATCTACAACGCGGTTTCCTTTTGCGTGCCATGAGTGCCCTGCCGATCGAATGAAGACAATCCAAATAGGATTTTAAAGACGCTGCCATGTCAACAATCCACGATTTGCAATATAGTGCGCGCCGCCTATCGCGCAACGCCAGAAACCGACGTTTTGGGTGCGAGGCTGGAAAGTGGTTGAAATACAATTAGGCTTCGCGATGCATGGTGTGGCTTGATACATGTGGGGCGTTAAGTTGCTGCGCGCAGTCTGTTCCAAGCGTTGCCCCAAGACTCAGATTGAATAGTGTGAAACATTCTCCCAGGAGCGTACAAAAACGACCTACCTGTGACAAAATGTGTGCTGCAGATCCGTCAGTGCTCGTTCGGCTGCCACGGTGAGCCGTCAATATTCCATCTCTTCACGACAGCTATCGAAGCCTATCTTAGCAGGATACAACCTACTGCAGACAGAAATCTAAAAAAAAGAACTTGGCGTTCTTTTTATTATAAAAGTAATTTGCGCAACTATACGAAATACAGTGCGCCGCCGTGGCGGTAAACAAAAGCGACTCGCGAGCTTTCTTCGTCCTTGCTCACGGTGTCTTCGCTTCCGCACCTCTGTCGCAGCCTAGGAATAGCCAGTACGCCTATTTGTTTTCCAACCAAACAGGGGGCGCTAGCGACACGCTCTGCTCGCGCTTGCGCAGCAGCTTTTTGCAAATTGTGGATTTCCTCGTCCCTTTATTCTGTGGAATGGCCAGAATCGAAAGACAATCTAAACATTGTACGACATCATTCCTCACTCTTTGCAATTTAAGTGAGGTGAGGCAAAGCGAAAGACTCCTGCACCATTAATTGCTGACAAACATGCCCGAAAATGCAGCGACCACGACATATATTAGTTCCAAAGCGCCATGTTTCCCCGCCGCCCTACTATGCCTGTCACGTGGCCTAAAATTCCCCTCGTAGGGAAATCTGGTTAACTTTGTGGTGTCGCTCTATAATAATCGCCGCCCGATCGGTCTGTGCTTCGTTCGTCTCGCAGGGAGTGACAAAACACAACGTGAAGACAGAGAATTGGTTTACTGCCCTTCCCGTTGCCCGTCCTAGAGAACCAGGTCCTGGTTCGAGCCTCGCTGGTGGACCGCTCCGGGGATCACCATGGGTACTGTGTCCTAGAGAGTTGTACCGGTAGGAGCGGCGGTCGCCCCGTGAAGATTTTGAGCGTAGACGACACCGTGGCTCTGCTGTGCTGAGCCCTAGGTGCGGGCCGGTCAACCCCGACATCGGCGCTGTTCGGCGCGCACTACTGTGGTTCGACTGGAGGTTTTCACGGCCCAGAACAATTGCTAATGTGAGAAAGTGTAGTTCTCCTTTGGGCTAATGTCTCTAGAGTGTGTGCTATCCTCTGTGTGGGATATTCACGTGTTTTTGTGGGAAATTATTTATATTATTATCCCCCCCCCCCCCCCCCCCCCCGTTCAGACAGCTCGTTCAGCTATCCCTTGGGGTGCACGCTTCATAGTTGCGAAGGAAACCACGCATACTGATGTAACATAGAAAAATAGGCTGATAAATATAAAAAATCGCACTTTTTCAATGGTGAGCGCAACAATAAGCTGGTGTATTGTTTTTTGTCATCGTGTTACTGATGCGGGGACTAGCGTTGTGGAAGGTGCAAGGCCGCCGCGTTTGGGATCGGCCAAGGTGCCACTGCAACTGGCAAACATATAGCAAACTGTCTTTTGTGGAAGGCAGTCTTTGAAGAAAGAATACCTCGATTAGGAGCACAGTGTGCTCAACTGGTAAATCTAACGCGAGAGCGGTGGCGGAAACTGCTATTAGGGCTGTCTAGCAATTAAATCAATGATGCGGCAGAGAATAAGGCGGCTCTTTTTGCGATTCTCGTCTCTCCCCGATACAAATAGGGAGTTTTAGCGAGTCGTTTTTCAAGCACACGGTTCCGAAATCACGAACGGTACAGCTGGTCTGTTCCGTGAAACCGTACGTCAAATTTGACATACTTTAGCGAATCGTGAAAATGGTGCGACCGTGTAAACAATGATGATGATCATGCTTAACGGTGGCGCCATCTTCTAGTAAACATGTGAAACATTCTGCAACGTGTAAATTAGTGGCGACGGTGGCGGACACCGTGGTGGCGGTTCGTGTTTCCGGCGTACGACTGATGTAAACAAGACGGCCAACGTAACATTTGCCGGTCGGAATTTCAAGAACTGCGAAGCTAGATAGAGTAAAAAGTGTCTGAACGACCGTAAAGGTATGTGGTGTGTCTCCGTCATCTTCAACTTGAACGATCGTTCACGTTGTGTGCCGTCGAACCAAATCATTTCGTCTGCTCGCGGTCACCACGGCAGCTAGTCTGCCCGCAGATCGCAAAAATTTACTAGCATGCGCAGTTTACAGCATTTAATATCCCTTACCATTGTGAGCAGTCCTCGGAATAATTTGGTTCAACCTCTCAAATGAAGCAGACTTAAACAGGAGGACCCAAATCGCCTCCGGCTGTCCTAAGCCTAACGCTCGGCTGAGTCGGCGAAGGCGGTCGCCGAACCGACCGCCATCTTTTTTTTACCCGAGTCGTGAACGGTGCTGGCTGCGTTGCGGTGACGACTCCAGCGGCCGGAATGGGAGAAACGAACGAGAAGAGCCTCCCGACTCCCCGAACGACTCGCGCGCGCATGCGCAGTGGCGTCGCGGATGCGTTCGAGGGC